TCCCGCCATGGGATTTGTCTGTGGTCCTGAGCGCGCTCTCAAAAGCCCCGTTCGAGCCCATTGATAGCATTGCCTTAAAGCTGCTCGCTTTAAAAACGGCTCTGTTACTTGCTCTTACAACTGCAAAGAGGGTACTACAGGCGTTATCAGTTCACCCTTCATGTATGAAGTTCGCTCCGGGTGGTCAAAGAGCTAATTTTAGAACTAACCCGGCGTTCGTGCCCAAAGTATATGATCGCGCGGATACCGTAAGAGCAGTGGACTTGCCAGCTTTTCATCCTCCTCCTTTTTCTTCTCCAGAAGAGGAGAGGTTACACTGTTTATGTCCGGTTCGCACGCTGTACAGTTATGTACAGAGAACCCACACATTGCGTAAGAGCAACCAGCTATTTGTCTCATGGGCTGACTCTTACAAGGGAAAACCTATCTCCCGTCAACGCCTTTCCCACTAGGTGGTGGAGGCTATCGTGTTATGTTACAAGAGCATGAATATAGAGCCCCCAGTAGGACTAAGAGCGCATTCTACTAGGGGGATGTCTACATCCTGGGCTCTATTTAAGGGTATTTCTATCCAAGAAATTTGCGCGGCGGCCAGCTGGTCCTCTCCGCACACATTTATCCGTTTTTATAGACTGGATGTTACGGAACACTCTCTGGCACACTCAGTTCTGGGAGTAAGTAGTCAGGGGGTATAAGATGGTTTTAATAAAGGGGGCACCTGTCCCCATATTATCCTGTTTTAACAGACTGGGACAATGATTCAGTATAATTTATATCCCCTCTTCTTCAGTCTGCTTCGTCAGCATATCGGCAATACGGGAGTTGTCTATATCCCATAGTGAGATACCGAATGAATGTTAGAAAGAGAACGGTAGGTTACTGACGTAACCCCGGTTCTCTGATAACATGAAGTGAGGTATCTCACAACATTGCCTTCCTTGCCTATTCGCATGGAGAAGAGATATGCGGAAAATGACGAAATGGCAGGTAGCTGCGTTTATATACAGGGAGCCGGGACTCCCTGATCGCTGCAGCGATTGGTCTGCACTAGTTGGCAGACGTGGTGTAATTGGTGCTTCCGCGATCGGACACGTCCAGAGGCGTTCCCATAGTGAGATACCTCACTTCATGTTATCAGAGAACCGGGGTTATGTCAGTAACCTATTGTTTCCCTCAAGGGCTCAGTGCCTATTTTGCTATTTAAATGGGTCATGACATATTTGTTCTTTGTGTTCACTCATAATGTTAATCAATAAACTCATTATGTTAACAGTAATGTGAAATTGATTGTAGGCTACTATGTATCACTTTTAACCCTTTATCGGGCGAGGAACCATATTTGGTAACTTAATCGCGCATTCAAACTGACTCTCCCCTGCCTGTTTGCATTGTCGTATGAGCGCATAGATTTCTCCAAGCCAATCAGCGAAGATCAGGCTACGTCACTGATAGTCACACCATGGCATCTGACCAATCAGAAGTTGCGCGGAGCATTTCAAACTTCAGTGCCGTTCCGGATATTGCAAAGTGAGGATATGCGCTACTTCCTACTCCCACATCAGCGCTAATAACTTTACAACAAAAAATGGTAAGTTGATGAAACTCACACATTCTATGGTTGAATAGTTGTGCAACATGTTGAGATAGGTGTTGTTTGCATAGATTTCTTGAAAGCAGTGACATTTGTGGCTTGAAAAATGGTGTGACCATATTTGATCATACGCCCTGTTCACGTAAGATTAGCGCAAGTGATAGGAAGACCATATTTAGACATACGCCCTATGCGTATAGAAAAGCCGTACTAGGGTATTTTTTCTACAAATAATGCATTATAACCACAGTCTATGATTGTAACGTAGGACAATAGTATTTACTAGTGCTTTGGATGTTATCACAGGTTTGTATAACATTATAAAGTGATTCAGTCGGAAACGTAACACATTTATAGACATTTTCAAGCCATAGATATTGAAATATGTGTGGTTTTGGTCAGTTTTATGACCTTTATAACAGTTTTTAATACTTATAATGATTTTTTGCACTTCTTATTATATATATACACTTTATGTGTAAGTTTTATGCCCTTGAAACAGTTTTTATCATAGTTAAATGCCATGTACTGGTGTTTTTTTTTTACTGTGAGACTTATTACTGCTAAAATAAGTGGTACCACCAGTACTTGACCATACCAAAGATCAGTAGTACAGATCTTTTATAAATGTATACATTTATTTATAACATTTATTTATAAAATATGCACAAATGTGCATTTATAAAACATTCTTAGGAGCACAAACCATAAATGAAAACCCTATTCATTAATTTGGTTTCAAATTATGTTAATGTATTAAAATAAACATTTTTAATTATTTGAGTAATATTTCAAAGGATTTATATTTTTAGCACTTAAGTGTTATGACAGACCAGTCCAATGTTACTCTCTTATTTTTCTTATTATTTATATTTCAGTAGATCTGCACTTCACTGTTACTCAACAAATAACTCAAACTGGGCTTGATATTGACTCAAAAATGTTCTCTCTGTTTTTTGCAGCTATCTACGCGAATCTTTTATGGCAAGAGGGAGACAGTTGTGCCAGCCAACCCCAGCATCAGTGATGATGAGGGCTCTGAGGAGGAAGATGATGATGTTTTAGATCCTGACTTCCTCCCATCCACCCACAACCTAGACACTCCAGGCCCCTCTGCCAAGAGGAAGTGTGTGCAGCCTGCAGTTGAGGTTCTTGTTGATGATGATGACGACGATGACGATGATGAAGAACCAGCACCACAAGCAAAGAGGCCAACTAAAAAGGGGAAGCCAGCAGCCAGGCTAACCACCTGGAGGAAGGATGACCTGGACAACGCCACCCTGCCTGAGTACCAGCACTGTCCCCCAGACTTCATTGAGACTCCATTTCAGTACTTCAGCAGGTACTTCAGCCCCCAAGTCATCAAGCACATAACGTACCAGACCAATTTGTATGCAAACCAGAAGAACATCAACACCTCCTTCACCACCACTGAAGACGAGATGATGAACTTTGTGGCTATCCTGATGTACATGGGGATTGCTGAGCTGCCTGCCGTTGAAGACTACTGGGCAATGGAGACCAGGGTCCCTCAAGTCGCAACCCTCATGTCATCGAAGAGGTTCAGGCTGATGAAGAGGCTTGTCCACTTCAACGACAACACCCAGATCACTGGCACCATCGATCGATTCTTCAAGGTGCGGCCACTGTTCAGTCATCTGAATGATGCCTTCAGGAGTGAGCCACAGACCCCCAAGCAGTCTGTGGATGAGGTCATGATTGCCTACAAAGGCAAGACAGCTGGCAACCTGAGGCAGTACATTAAGAACAAGCCAGACAAATGGGGATTCAAGTTGTTTGCTAGGGCTTCTGAGGATGGCTTCATCCATGACATGGTGTTGTATCAAGGTAAGAGTACGCTGGAGGCCCACGGTGTTCCCCTGACACCTGAACAAACAGCGATGGGTGTCACCAGCCAGATCGTCTCCGTCCTAGCCAGCACCATGTCCTCCTCCACCACCACAGCCATCTTTGCGGACAACTTTTTTACCAGCCTGGAGATAGTGCGGTACCTCAAGGACAAAAACTGCAGGTACACAGGGACAGCCAGGGACAACAGAATAGGCAAGCCTCCACTCAAAATCATCAAGGAGATGGAGAATAAGGCTGTCCCTCGTGGTACGTATGACTACGTCACCAGTGACGATGGGATCCTGGCCCTCAGGTGGAAGGACAATAGGATTGTCACTCTGCTGTCAACCGACATGGGGGCAGAGCCCATTTCCTCAGTCTACAGGTACTGCAGTGAAACCAAGAGGAAGGAACAAGTGAGCTGCCCTGCTGTCATCAAAAGCTACAATGCCAACATGGGGGGCATTGACAAGAGTGACATGCTGGTCCATCTCTACCGCACCCCCATGAAATCAAAGAGGTGGTATATGCGCATGTTTGCCTACTCTGTGGATGTCAGCCTCACGAATGCCTGGGTTTTCTACAGGCGGGACTGCAAGGCTATTGGCTTTCTGGATGGCCTGTCTGTAAAAAATTTTAGAATCCAGGTGTTCAGGGAAGCTAGCAGCCAGAGGTCTCCCACATCGCATCTCCGAAGGAGCTCAGCATCTTCAGGCAGCCTCAGCACTTCTGTTGCCATCCCCATACCTGTCCGGGGACACCGCAGCACAAATCCAGCAATCCATGTGCGGTTTGACATGTCCCTGTTCCACGCCCCTGTCTACACAAACCGCCAGACCTGCAAGTACTGCAGCCGGAAGGGGAATATCATGAGGTCGAACGTGGTCTGCAGGGTCTGCAAGGTCCATCTGTGCCTCAATGCTGACCGCAACTGCTTCCTTAAGTACCACGAAGCAGTGGCCTAATTCACTGGACTTGAAAAAAAAAAAATGTTAATAATAATTTAAAATGTTCCTAATAATAATTTAAAATGTTCCTAATAATAATTTAAAAAATGTTCCTAATAATAATTTAAAATGTTTCTAATAATAATTAAAAATGTTCCTAATAATAATTTAATATAAAATGTTCCTAATAATAATTTAAAATGTTCCTAAATAAATATTTTTATGTTTCAAACAAGTTTATGTGTTTTTATTTGATTTTTTATATATACACTTTTTAAGGGAAAAAAATTACCCTAGACTGGCGAGGAACCATATATGGTAACTTCATTGCCCTTGATTTCCAACCTAAAAAAATATATTTTTTTAAAAACTCACAAATGTTTAGAAGTCTTATAATATCCTCCAATAACACTCTATGGTTGAAATTTAGAATTTCCAAGTATTTCAATGAGTGCCCTATAAAGGGTTAATACATTTTATTAATTTTATTTTAAAATGTTGCTTGGAAAAAAGTGCTTTTTTAACAACCAGAAGGTGTAGTTACGACATCTACCAACAGGGGAAAACTAGCCGATGCCAACGAGCAAAACCTTCTACATTTAGCTTGAACAATGAATGATGATGACTTTGATTGGAGGAGGCATTTGTCCTTGCCCTATGAGAAGAGTTCCTGGAATCACATGGTCAGAAATGCACCTGCTCTTGGCCTGATCTACCTGCACCGTTGATGTATTTTTAAGCCCTTTTTTACCATCTAATTGTTTCGAACTTTGGTCTCAAATGTGATTTTATGAGAAACTTTTATTTCAAAAGCACAAACTGAGGCACGACAGACATTCTGTTCCCCTGAAGCTGTGAAACTGCTCTTTTTTTTCTTTTTTTTTTACTGCTCTCTGTTGTTTTCTTTCTCCGGTAACACTTTACGGTAAGGGTACATGAATTATCATGAATTCATGCATGAATTCATGCATGAATTAGGCATTAATTCATGCATTAATATCTCATGAATCATCAGAAATCATCACGAGTTCAACGTTTTTCATTCATGACTTCATCGATGAACAACACCTTAATTAAAACATTAACTAAGATGAGTACATCATCATGAATTATGATTTATTACGCATGATCATGATGTTTTCTTTGTTCACAAAAAAAAATTGTCTTTACTATCCATTGTGGATAAAGCTAGTTATGGTACCTGAATCATCATGAACTCATGCATAACAAAAAAGCATTAATTCATGCATGCAAGACTAGTCTTCGAATGATTCGTTTCAAAGCATGTTCATGTCTTCTTCATAGTCTGCAGGTAAATGGACAGACCCCAAAATTGGCCCATCACAGCAAATAGCGCACGAATTCTGTTGACATTCAAATACCGGTCATCATTAACTACGCATAATCTTTTAATGACTTCATCATGTGTGTGGCCCCTCAACTAAAGTGATGACTTGGTCCTTTGAAACGCTGATAAACAATGTGTTTTCATTGTGATCTGAGTTATCCAGCATGTTCATGTCTTCATAATAGCCTGCAGGTAAATGGACAGACCCCAAAATAGACCAATCACAGCTCATAGCACATAAATTCTGTTGACATTCAAATACAGTAGTCATCATTAACTAAGCATTATCTTTAAATGACTTCATCATGTGTGTGGCCCCTCAACTAAAGTGATGACTTGGTCCTTTGAAACACTGATGAACAATGTGCTATTAATGGTGGCATAACTGTGAAATGACATGAATATGAACAAGAAAGTTCAAGCCTTTGCAAACAATGTACTGTGGACACAAATGGAGTTTGATCTGAACTTTACTGCTTTATTCTGAAACCAGATAAATCCACAGCAATACCTGGGAAGAGCTGAGGAGGAATTCAGTACATACACCATGAACTTTATTTTAAGTGCCTGTATATCTCTTTACAAAACCATGAAGCTGTTTTTCAAAAAAAGAAAGAAAAAAAAGGTTTTAGGGTAAGGAGTCACCTTTTAATGTATAAAGTTTTATAAATTAATCACAATTATTGGCTAACAGGGAAACTGGTCCCGAATGTCCTTAAATAAACGACCAAGTAACCCTTTCTTATGCTTGTTTCCAAGCCAGTAGGTCCATTCTATTACTGCAAGATGCTCTTTCAAAAGCTTGGCAGTTCGGTTTCCCCTCAATCGCCAAATTGTCGATTTGTATGTTAACCATGCCCTCTCCAAGTGCTGAGTGTGAGCTCCACTTACAGGATCAACAAACCACCTTGAATGATTCACGGTGAAATGCCTGTAGCCCAAATTGCTGAGAACACCCCTATATGCTCTCCACTCGTCACTAAGAATTAATGTCCCAGGCTGCACATGCTTCACCACTAAGGGAATCAGATGGTGGCGGGACCTCTTCTTGACCAGCCTCAGGATAGGTCTTCGATGCCTTCCTTTTACTCCAAGCATCCCAAAAACCCACTTTTTGCGTCTCCAGGTGTTGGATATTCTCCCACGAGCATACTGTAAAAAAAAAAACATATTTTCTTAACATGAAACTAATATATTACATAGACTCATTACATGCGAAGTGAGATATTTCAAGCCTTTATTTGTTATAATTGTGATGATTATGGCTTACAGCTTATGAAAACCCCAAAGTCAAATTTAGAATATTGTGAAAAGGTTTTCATAGCTGTAAGCCATAATCATCAAAATTATAACAAATAAAGGCTTGAAATATCCATAGACAGTAAAATATATGGACACAGCGACCCCATAGATTTCAACAGAGAAAAGTGAAGCCAATCAGAAACACTCACTTCCTGATGGCTGAGCGACTGCGCCGGCTCACACTGAGCTGGACGACGTAATGTCACGTGAGCATCCTGTATGTCTTCTAGTAGCTGTGCCGAGAGAAATCTGATATATTTATATATATAAATAATTCCCTTCCGAATCTCGCAGAGACGTAGAGCGTGAGCATTAGCTGTCCGTGAGCTAGCAGCAGGAGCCACTTTATGACTCTCTATGGGCTTCTCCCTTGACTTAATTAGACTTTATGCCTCCACGTCCCCCCGATTGTCGGCGAGCTTCTCCGCCTGTCTATACGGTAATTTCTCGACTGTGCGACGGAGTGTGGCGTGGTTATGACGCAATCGTTAGCCTATTTTTACAAAAACTGCTTCTACGGGGCCATAACGTAAGATACAATGTAATGGAGCCTATTATACATTGTCGTGTTTCTTTAGAAATAAATAATGGACGAATGGAGTCTTTGGACACCTCAGATGTAAAGTTATTCGCTGTCAAAGTGACGTAAAAATGAATGGGAGTCAATGGAATGCTAACAGCAGGTGATGTTCTGCTACAGTGGAGGCTTCAGTTTCCGGCTGGTGGATTACCCCCTTGGAAATATCTCACTTTGCATGTAATGAATCTATATAATATATTATTTTCAGTTCAATTACTGAAATAAATGAACTTTTACAGGAAATTCCCGAGTTTCACCTGTAGAGCATACTATTTGCATTTGAGTTGGCAAATAGGAAGTTACACTCAAAAAAATGATATGTTGGCTTTACTTAACTTTTTTTTGTAAACAGGTTCCACCGGTTCCACATAACTATGTTTCGTTAAACAAACATAATATGTTCATGTAACTTCAACATCATGGAATTTGGGTCATTTTAAGCGACCCAATTAAACTCTGAGCTAATGAGTTAATTAAGTGAATAATTGAGTGATGATTGAGCATTATTGAAGACACCTGATGTTAACAAGCAGAATCTCTGAAGGAGAAAACCGGAATGTTTAAGTCACCATTATGGAGATAAGTATTCGTTTTAGTTGGGCTCTTGACCATTAACTTATTAACTTTAGATTTTGTTTGGTTGCTGTACATGAGTTATAACAGCCGAATGAACAATAAACAAAGGTCATCTGATGGTATTGGTTGTGTTTTAACATAATCATTATTTCACAATCATTTGCAATTATTTCACAATCATTTTAGATTTTTCAATGAAATTCAAATGACCAAATCAAGAAATAAAAAAGAAACTTCCTAAAAAATATTTAGAGTAGGCACACACAGACATCAAGAATCAGCATATGAATCTCAGCAATGGTGACAAACAGATCATAAGCTCATTATTTATTCATGCAGCAATGCATGATGGGAGCCATGAATGAGTTTTGATTGGTGGCACCCAGAATGCACTACAACATGCTTTATAATTGTCACCATTGGTGAGATTTACAGGCTGATTCTTGATGTCTGTGTGTGTCTACTAAAGATATTTTTTAGGAAGTTTCTTTTTTTATTTATTGATTTGATCATTTGAATTTCATTGAAAAGTAAAAAAAAATAGTATGCTCTACAATGACAGTGCTGCTATTATCCATAAGGTAAACTTAACTCAGAAATTCGGTTTAATATAAGTTCAGTGACTCAGGTCAAATGATTGTGAAATAATGATTATGTTAAAACACAACCAATACCATCAGATGACCTTTGTTTATTGTTCATCCGGCTGTTATAACTCATGTACAGCAACCAAACAAAATCTAAAGTTAATAAGTTAATGGTCAAGAGCCCAACTAAAACACACACTTATCTCCATAATGGTGACTTAAACATTCCCGTTTTCTCCTTCAGAGATTCTGCTTGTTAACATCAGGTGTCTTCAATAATGCTCAATCATCACTCAATTATTCACTTAATTATCTCATTAGCTCAGAGTTTAATTGGGTCGCTTAAAATGACCAAATTCCATGATGTTGAAGTTACATGAACATATTATGTTTGTTTAACGAAACAAAGTTATGTGGAACCGGTGGAACCTGTTTACAAAAAAAAGTTAAGTAAAGCCAACATATCATTTTTTTGAGTGTAGGGCTGATACACATTCTAGTAGCAGAACGCAACACAACAAAATAAGATAGTTTCATCTAGGGCTGTCGCGATAACCGCAATATTGTAGTACCGCGCTAATGACAAGCCAACCGCAGAGGAATGCAAGTAACCGCAGGAACCGCGATATTTGCGTTTTTTCTTTTTTCATAAGGCTATCCTTCTTGTTTTGAACTTTGTGCATGTTTATTGAATGTTAAATAAGTTAATAATGAAAACAAGACTGTATCATGGTGATTTGTACAGAGGCTTTGTAGATTTGCATGAAACAGACAGTGAATGAGAGATGGACTGAGCGCGTTTGATTACCTGCGTCTGTCTTTAGGTCATATATTCGTGAAAAGGTTGCCGTGTCCAAGGAAAGCGAAACATTTGTTGTATCTTTCATTTAACGTTTAAGGTTACCATGAATAGTCGCGCTGGTCAGCATCCACAGCACGAGGAAAAAAAATCAGCGAGTCACGCATTGAATCAATCATTGATCTCTATTGAGGGAAGCCTCCGCTTCAGAGTTACCCATGCAAGTTGATGCAACGCATTGCTGGTCAGCTGAGCCTTGAAAAGTGGAGCTCAAAGTTAAAAAATAATTAGCACCTTTACATCTATCTTTTAATGAATCTGCGTTTTTGAACGTGTTCGTTGAATGAACGGTTAAATGACTCACTCTAAGACAGTCCGTTGCCGTAACAATGAAACTCAAAATTACCGCAAGGGAAATTACTTCACCGCGACAGCCCTAGTTTCATCTTAATACTTATAGAATACCTTTCGTTTATGGCGGAAGTTGCTCT